AGTGAGTGTGTGTGAGTGAGTGTGTGTGAGTGAGTGAGTGTGAGTGTGTGTGTGAGTGTGTGTGTGAGTGTGTGTGTGTGTGAGTGTGTGTGTGTGTGAGTGTGTGTGTGTGTGTGTGTGTGTGTGTGTGTGTGTGTGTGTGTGTGTGTGTGTGTGTGTGTGTGTGTGTGTGTGTGTGTGTGTGTGTGTGTGTGTGTGTGTGTGTGTGAGTGTGTGAGTGTGTGAGTGTGTGAGTGTGAATGTATGTATGTGTATGTGTGTGTGTGTGAATGTATGTATGTGTATGTGTATGTGTGTGTGAATGTATGTATGTGTATGTGTATGTGTATGTGTGTGAATGTGTACGTACGTACATATGTGTGCGCGTTTCTGTCTCTGTGTATACGTATGCGAGTGTAAACGTACATGTAAACACGCTTTAAGCGTGTTTACATATGTGTATACACGTGTTGCTGTCTATGCATAAATATGCCATGTACATATCCGGGTATGTATACATATGTATGTCTGCATGTGTTTATTTTCGAAATAACACACACGACTTCATGCTTGTGCAGCGATATTTAGGAATACCATGCATATCGCCACGACTTTCCAAAAATGACACCAGGCACACATACCTTAACAGCTGATACATGATGTCACGCATGCATATCCTATGACTGCCTACTATGTGGAGTATCATGTGCCATGTTGTATCCCTATTCGCATGATTAGCAAGTTTCTGATACACTATGACGTCACTTAAATAAGGCAAAGGACATTTCCTGATAAGGATTCCTGACGTACGTAGATGACATTTTGACCTTCACAGGATAGCTGCCATGCACATGCTGTATGTGCATGACGTCATGACCTTCCTAAGGCGGTCGACATCAAGCATGCATGACACAATAACCTTCTAAAAAGACTTGGAATCCCACTGTGCAGCGAATCATGACCTATGTGTGCATGGCGGACTGCATGAAATGCCGAGGTACGAGGCCATCGTGCGAAGTAGAGGAGGCATCTATTTCTAGTGTGTCCGTCCGTCCTCTTTACAGCAGATAAAAAGAACGTACGAACAAAGAGAGAGAGAGAGAGAGAGAGAGAGAGAGAGAGAGAGAGAGAGAGAGAGAGAGAGAGAGAGAGAGAGAGAGAGAGAGAGAGAGAGAGAGACATTATGGGTTTGCACAAATATCGCACGCAGCGGGAAGAAGCTTCCAGAAGGCTTTAAACGCGCGACCACTCTCGAAACAATCCGATTTCGTCCGCTTGCAGAATCAACGAATCGCATGGCAGAACCAGTGGACGTGGAGAGACGCATCGAAAATGTAACGAAACTAGAAATGTAGAAAAGGGAGGGAAAGCGTGAGGGGAGAAGAACGGGAAGGAGAAAGGAGAGAAGGTAAAGAGTGTGAAAGGGGAGAGGAAAGACGGGAGAGACGCTGTCTTCCGCTTCCTATCTAGCCACGAGTTTCTCAGGCTAAAAAAAAAAAAAAAATCAAATCAACGTTTAAAAGATCAAACCGAATCGTCCCGAATAACACCAGACCATGTCGACGTGTTCCACAAAGTCAGTGCGATTTCAAGCGAACCTATCAACACGGCCTCCTCCCCTCCCTCCCCCTCTCTCCATGGCCTCCTTCCCCCTGCATTCACCCCCTCTCCCTTTCCATCTACATCCTCCCCCTCTATCCCCGCGAAAAAACGGCCCACAAGACGCCTTGGTTATCAATACGGATTTGTTTTCCGACTGCACTCGCATGTCTCTTCCATGCTTTTGCGCCTTACATGCTGCCCGCTCCCCAGCCCGTCAGGAAAATAAAAACACAGCGACTCGCCCAAATCCACATTCATGCTGAGACTAAATGAAAGAGGGACACGCCCCCTCGCAGCGCCGCACATGCGCAAACTCGCATCACTCCCCCCCTCCCCCACTCCCTGAATCCAATACCCCCTTCCCCTAACGCGTGTGACGCCTCGCCCCCCCCCCCCCTCCTTCCCACCCACCCCCGAAATCTGTTTGCAGACTCATCCCGAACCCCAGGCCATAAAACGGAAAAAGATGAGTATCCTAATAAATTCCCTCAGTTGTTTATTCATCCTGTTTATTTTTGATGCGGGTACAGATTGCGCAATCAATCACCACGACCTAATTGTATATGACAACGATCCTCTCTCCTGACACAGAAGTGGCAGATTTCTATCCCTACAGATAGATGTGACGATACATGAAGTGCGGGATGCTAGCACTGCACACTGAGCACAGCGAATGGGGCTACCTTTTACAGCCCGCCTTCCAAACGATGGGGGGCACGCCTGTATCTTAACATTAACCACAATATTTACTTCTATAAGAAGTGAAAACTGCAGAGTTACATACTAGCTTTGTATCATGACTATGTAAAGCAGCATTCATTATATCATACTGTAAATTAAATTGAATGTGATCTCACAATAAAAGAGAGTTAACAAAGGGAGCAAGTCAACAACAATGGCAAGTCCCATTCCACAGGAAAATGTGAGGAGTTTGTTCTAGAACATATAAACAGCCTGTTTTGTTCAAGCACTAGAACTTGACATCAGCCTGTTATGTTCTAGAACAACCAGTCCAGGTTCTAGAACACCTCAACAAAAGGTTCAGTTTAAGTTCTAGAACAAGTCAGCAGCCTGTGTTCAATGCAAGTTCTAGAACATGTCAATTCAAGTTCCATTCAAGTTCTAGAACATGTCAGCAGACTGTTTGGATTCTAGAACATGTCAACAACTGACCATTCAACTCCAGTTATAGAACACAACAGCTTGATGAATTCAAGTTCCAGAACATGACAGACCCTGTCACTTCCAGTACAAGTCATCAGCCTGTGGAAGTTCTAGAACATGTCAACAGCCAGTTTAGTTTCTAGAATGTGTCAAGAGTATGCCCATGCAGAACTTGCCAAATATTTGCTCTAGAACATCTAATATTTTGTTCTAGAACATGCTAACTCTGTTAAAGACAAATCTCATTAGTATTCAAGAACTCATCCTCAAAGATCATTAAGCTGTTGTAGAACATTACAGGTTATTCTAGAACATTCTAGTTCAATTATTCAAGAACACAAAGTTCTCCTTTACAGCTAAACCGTGAACTTGTGCAAGATCAAATTCCGGCCTGTATAAAAATAGTCCACTATTTTTTACAAGAAAATCAACCATGACAAGAGAGAATAGTTTCTTACAGATACAAAATGTTAGGTGATTGTGCATGTCAAATACTAATAGAAGAACTAGTCACCTGCATACATTTTAAATAAGACTGCTAATATTAGCTCCCGCTCAATTCATAAATATCATTGATCCAATAATCACATGCCAATAAATGTCGTTGTTCAGTGTGTCTTGCGTGTTCAACAAAACCTCGGCTGTGATCAAATTAAACAAATGTAATTCAAACTTCGAGATTGTAATATGCATAGCAATTTTAATGCAAATTTCTCTAGTAACATAAGCAAATGGAAAAATTAGTTTCTCTCCCTCGCAGTATGATATGAACAAGTTTCCACATACGACTGCAGTAACACATAGAAACTGTAGCAACCTTTATGAGATCAGTACTTTGTTTTCCTTGACTCAACACTGAATTAGGATCCTTTAATTGATGCTGCCTTTTGTGAATACAGAACTATACTCCTGAAAATGTTCTGGGTAAAAGGAAGTGTGATAACAAAATAACAAAGAGCATTGGCTATTCTAGTGATTTCCCTCCACAAAAAAAACACTGGGTATATAATTCGCCTCCTCTTAATTGCCCAATTAAATACCCATCTATATGTAGGCATGAAATGCGATGACTGCAATTCCACAAAATGAACCATAACTATTATTTAGTGTCCTCGATACACCCACTGTGACAGAACTACCCAGCTTTGTGCTATTCTATTACATCCAGTTATTTTGCTTTATAATATACAGTAACAAAATGAACGCAAATTCAAAGAAAGTGTTATTTAAAACCGAAATTCATATAATATAAATAACAAGAGCTTTCCACACCCACTGTGATTTATACTTCACTTTGCCATGGCAATTGAAAAACTTCAGATCAATGTACACCATATCTCACACTTTCCTCCCTCAACACAAACGGAGAACAGAAATCACACCATCAATCACCATCTTGAGTCACCAAACAGCAAACAAAAAAAAGAAAAAGAAAACCCATCCTCAATCCTGCCCTCTCCTATAGGCCTACCTTCCCCCCCTAGAGTCGGCACCCAATGCTAAATCACTTCTCTAACCCACATACACAGCCACACACCACACACACACACACACCAATAGACTTGACTCCCATGACACAGTAATCATAATGACCCTAAAGACAATGTGTAGGTCACGCCCACCTTTTGCGAGACGAGTAAATAAGATCAATGAATGAATCGCTCGGAGCCGCCCTCGGGATCTCGCCCTGTCAACCTCAAAAACGGCAATAACAGCCCAACGAAGACATTTACCCCTCGCCTACTTCATCCCCCGAAGGAGAAAGACAGCGTGAAATACTCACTGTTGGGCGTGGGGGAACGAGAGGAGAGTTTTTGGAGAGTTTTTGCACACAAAGGGCCTCCGTATCGATCGCACGCCTTCCCCTCGTGGCAGACGACGCACTTCTGAGCTCGCACGGAAAGGCCGTTCCAATAACACATTCTTTCGCGGCAAGGAATGCTATTTGTGATACTTTTACTACTCAGATGCATTTGTTGATAATTATCTTTAATGTTTTTTTGTATTAAAGTTAAATACATTAAACCTTTTTTCCACAGAATGAAGAGGTCTAGTTTTTAGAAGATTTTCAGGAGTTTATCAGAACAAGTAACCCTGACGAGCTAATGGAAAATAAAGATTTTCAATAAATTTTCGAATAAATTCCAAAAAGACACATATAGTACCAGATAAATATATATCTCAATAATTTTCGCAAGCGCAAAAATGAAGAAAGGCCATTTGGAAGGGAAATGAAAGAGGAGAGTCCAGCGGGCGTCTCAGGACCAAAACAAATATGGCGTCCCTTTTGTGCGAGGCGAGCGAGCTGGTGATCCTATGGCCTTGACCTTATTTTCTAGCCAACAGGAAACTTATCATAGTGCAAGGTGGGTAAAGAGAGATGCTTCTGTTCATGAAGAAGAGTTTCATTCCCTGTGAGAGACCTTCTTTGAGTGGGATAAAGAGATTGGAGACGTTAAAGTTCGTGGGGCAAAAATTGGGGATTTAATTCTCGAGGCCTTTTTATCCTTTTTTGTTAATGTCCTTCATTCCCTTTTTCGTTAGGAAGAAATAGATCAAACGGAGGATAGAAGAGGGGGAAATGCCTCATGTCGCATTACCATAGCTGCTCACAAGTTGGAGAAAACGAAAAGGCGAGACAAAAACACTGGAGTTCAGATAAAGAGAATTTTTACCATTTTTTTTTTCCGCGAAACCTTTTCTCTTTAGCGCTGTTTCTTATCTCTCTATCTTGAAAATCGTTGATTTATTTTACTTTTTTTTTACACCGTATTGGCAATTCAGTGGCGGTGTTTAGAGAGAAATGAGGCAAGGCAACACTAAATAGTAGTTAGGAAGAAATCCCTTCACTTTTTTTTTTCACTTTTCACTTGCTTTTTAAAATATTCTGGGAGTTTATTTTGGTCGCATTGAAACCATGATTATGTGTATTTGAGGAAGAGGTATTCATTAATTAGATTAACTTTTGAAACCATGATTATGTGTATTTAGGTATTCATTAATAAGAAGAACTTTGGGTTGTAGGAAAATTTGGATATAATTATGCTATTGTCAGTATGTATCATTTTTGCTAAGGTCTCAGACGATTTGTAAATATGTCTTTGAATGTTATTTTGGTGCATGTGAATTGACTTTCGCTACACGATGGGATTTATGAAGTCCAGATTATGAAAACTATATTCCACTGAAACCATAGCTATGCCTTAATTTCTTCAGTCGATGCTAGCTCTTCAGAGGGAGAAAATAGAGTGAATGTGTCATTTATCGCCATTCATTATTTTGATGGATTTGAAGAAGCATATTTACTAAAGATCATTAGCAAGATTGTGACGGAGATAAAGTTCGTACTCAGGATGACCGTTAATTCTAGAATGTAATACTGCAAAGATTTCTTTCTCTCTATTTAATTGTATTTTGCTGTTTCTACTCACATTGTCACTAATTATTATGGTATGTGCCATCTCATAATCTTACACATCAAGACAGAGCACCCATTTCTCTCTACTCTAGTTTAGTTCAGAGTGGAAAATTATTTTCTATAAAACCTACAGTTCAAAACCTGCTTTAAGGAACTTGAAAATATCATAATCATTTTCTTTTGTCTTGTGGTACAGGGTTTCTCTGTATCTTTTCCTGTTTCAATATGCAACTTGGTATGAGAAACCAGCACTAAAAATAACAAAAGCATTTTCATTTGTAGGAAGTATAGCTTGCTACTCTATAGTGAACAAAAAGTAATAAGGTGACAGGTATTCACAGTTTGGGTTAAAGAAACAAGCGATAATATTGATATTTGTTTATAAAAGGCTAGTATATGATGCTCTCAGAGAATGTTAAGGAGGATGATAAACCCATTTTGAGGAAATCCTGTTTTGATTATACATCACACGACCCTCCTTTTGCAGCGACAATAATTTCATCCACCCCTCTATTGTTGTCTGTAATTAGTTATGCACCTGCTCTAAGTCTGATAGTGAAAATTAGAGAGTGTAACTTAAGAATGAATGGGAATAATTTTAGGTGGTTCTTGGACAAGTTAAACTAAATATTATGATCATATTATTCCCTAATCACTGCCCCAACAAGAAACATCTTTAGCATCATTACATGTAATAGTTAGAGAGAATGTGAAGCAATAAAATCAATAATGAATTAATTGAAATAGCAAAATAAATATAAACAACCAATTAAATGCTTAATTAATTGAAAGCATGAAAGATCTTTTAGGTTGATAGGTTTGCCTAATGGCCACCAGAGGGCTTACACTTCTCTTATCAGAACTTCCATCCTTTGTTCGTCAAGATCACACACGCACTTCCTATCATGAACCTTTACTGCTCACTTATTGGTGACCCAGTGTCTGTCAGTCAGTCACTGATGAATATGGGCTGATAATCTAACCAAGCAAATTGACGTAGGGACAATTGCACAGCCTATATAATTTTGAAAAACTGACGTACCAGATTTTGTGCTCGATAGTGTGTCATCTTTTGAGTTAGACATAATAGCATTGCTTCACAGTTGTAGAATTCATGATTGTAGGAAATGTGTAAAGTAGGATAACACCAGCTAATAATTATTATCATCATTCTTACAGACACTATAAATGTTTAATCTTATTCTTGTATATAAGTGTTCAAATGAAAATGTTATTGCTAAGAAAATATACCCAATGTAAATTTTACAGTACACTGAACCAAGAAAAAATACTTAGAAAATAGTGCTCTGTTCCAGGAACCTCAGAGTACTACCATTTAAGGTCTGTATAAGGAAGGTCTCATCACTGAGCTACATAAATTCATCAGTCTTGTGCATGATGTCATGCGGAACAAAGCCTGGGGACTCGACTTTAATCATGCGGTCAGTCTTGGATCCAATATTGACCCTCTCTCTTGATTTTGGTCACATCACTGATTGGTGCGTGCAAAGTGGTTGAATGCAGTATTTGCGACCACTCTGAAGATACCCTTTATCACTGATTTCCAAAGGAGGAAGAAATACGACATGTATTCTGATACCCTAGTTGTATGATTTATTTTCTTCATAATAAATTTGTTGAAAGCATTCGGATTTTACATATGCATTGATAGAACAAAACAATATTATTATTTATATCTTATGTCTCCTTAAGTAAAAAGTAAAAAGTATGATATACACCCGCAGTTAATCATCGCATTTAAATCCTGTCCAATATGCAAAAGTGCCGGAATGAGCCAGCATCTAAGACTGCTTTAGTGCTTGCTCAGTTTGCTGTCGTTTTCTATAATCTCCTTCCCCCAGCCTACCAGTCTCTAATCCCCCTTTCCATCTGTTCTCAGTCGGTCTCATGTGGCGTGTGACTTCAAAGCTGTGCAAAACTTGGACGTGACGAGACCTTGCTTATATAGGCATTGCCACCAGTATCATGACCAGATTGTCAAATGTTTTGATCTTACAGAATGGGCAAAAAAGTGAAAGTCTGTCTGACTATAAAGAGTACAGTTGATAACAAAGAAATGATAACTGATAAGATAAATGGAAAGATAAGTGGAAGACAAAAAAAGAGAGATTTCTTAGTGGAAGGAAAAACATAAGTGATTTCATAATCAGTATGTAGATGGCAGGGAAATTGTTAATGATCATATGTATGTTGCACCTAATTGCAAAGTCACTGATATTTTCTTGGTCAGTTTAAAAATTTTGATTTGCATGTAATTAGTGCACTCGCACTTAGATGTGCATAATCTAACTTAGATCTAAATATTTATATTCTTTCTATCTTTCCTTTCTTCTCTATTCCTTTATTTTTTTTACTTTCTATCTTTCCTTTCTTTTTGTTCTCTCTCTCTCTCTCCTCTCACTTCTCTTCTCCTCTTCTGCTCTCTCTCTACAAATCTCTCCATACCATGTTTCTCCTTTTTGCCTCCTTTTATGATTAAGGATATATTGAAGGTAAAGTTAATTTCATGATTTATTTAGATTTATGTTTTTAAATCCTTTACTTCTTTACAGGATAAAGACAGAGTGATGCGTAGGACACGGTGGGATGACAAAGGCGAGAGAGACGGGCCCAAGGACGAGTCAAGGAGATGGAATAACCGTTGCTCAGCACAGATGGATTGGAACATGAACAGTGAAAATGAGAGCCATCAACCGCAGTCGTCAGCCATGAGACACCGGGCGACACCCTCTCCCATTGACTACAGGAGTGAGAGCAGACGTCAGCATGATAACCAGCAAAATGGTAGCGTCCCCCAGAATTCAACAGGTCCTCATGGCCAGCAGCAGTCTCTGATGGGGCCTCCTCAAACACACTTCCAGGGAACTTGGCCCTTGATCTCCAACCACAACATTTACCCTGAAGCCAACAGAAGTCACCATGCCCCTCCTCACTTTCCACAGCAGCAGTCCTGGGGGCATGCCCACCCAGGATACTACCAGAGTGGAGGAGGGCAGTATGCCTTCGACCTGAAGTGGTGGGCACAGCAAAAGCAGTCCATGGACGCCTACCTCGGGGGTCCAAGCTGGGCTGATGACAGCGAAAACACACGTCCAAATCCTGACTGGCCGCAATGGTCTTTTGGTACACGTGTCACGAAAAACTACTCCAAACGCCACAACAGTAGATCGAGTAGTCACAATGGACAAGGTGAGGGAAGTTATGGTGTTCCAAGACAGGATGCCATGTTTGACCCTGCAGATAGTCGAAGGCACCACTCCTCAACGTTCCACCATCGACCCAGAAGCAGAGACAGCTCCCATGACTCTAGGAGACGCTACAGACCAGACTCTAGGGATTACAAGAAAATCCCTCCTGCACATCACCAGCTGCACAGGGATGTAAGAGGCAGTGGTGATGTTTTTCATGGGAAAGGAAGGGAGAATAAAGGAGGAAAGAAGAAAAAACAGAAACAGCATCAAAATAAGTTTGAGGGATCAAGTTTCCAGGCAGTTGGTCATGCCAGCAGAGGATTGCGGATAGCTGGTGCAAGCATGATGCTGTCAAGAGGTGACAAGGCACGAGTTAAAGCCAAAACTAAAGAGAAGAAGGGAAAGAAAAAGAAAATCAGTGAGAGTGCCACTTTAGCTGAAGCAGCAAAAAAGAAAGCTCTTGCCGATGCAGCTAATAAGCTTAAGAAGACATTTTTGGCAGCCAAGAAAAAGAATAATGGTGCAGAATGCTCAGTGGCTGGAGAGAATGAGGACAGTGAGGATGCGACTAAGTCTCCTGAGGAGAATAGTGCGCAGGACTTATCCATGCCCCGCAGAAACCCCAGTTGCCTGGAGTTTGACATAGACATTCGTTTTAGCGCAAAGGAGTGGGCATCTGTTGGGCGAGGGCAGGGTGGGACCAGTAACATTCTGGGCATACCCCCAACCCCAGTGACATCTCGTAAGCGCACAGGCACCTTCCCCAAGGGTGGCACATTATTGGGGGAAGGCAGCTTGGGGTGCAAGCCAGTTGACGGTGATGAGCAGGAAGACTCTGGCACCTATTCTGATACAGATGTGGGAAGAGCAGGTGGCCATTGGCCATCAGTAGACCCCTCACAACCCTCCTCCTCTGTAACACGGAGAAGACACATGTCCGAGAGTTCAGGGGTGATTGACTTGCGCAAAAATCCTTCAAGTGGGTGCTTGACTACCAGGCCTGGGCCTGGCAGGGTTAGGTCATGTTCCATGAGTGTGGTGGAAAGTGCTGGATCAAGTAGGGATGGTCAAGGGACAACTGGTGCTCGCAAGAATTGGATGAAGATCCATCTCATGCCAAAACTTAGAAAGATTATGCTGAAGCAGCTCCTCACCATGGACAAAAAATCCTTGCAGGTTTGTAAAGTGGAGGAAGCAGTTTTTTTGGAAAGTCTTTTCTAGATCCTTTTCCTTACCTCTTCTTTTTCTTCTTCTTTTCTTCCTTATTACTTCTCCCTCTTCCTATTTGTCTTTCTCCTCCTCCTCCTGAGCCTCACTCGACTTTTTTTTAACTTCATTCTCTTCTCCTCCTTTTCTTTGGAATCATGATCTTCTCCTTTTTTCTCAGTCCTCTTCCTTATACATACCAGCCATTTCTTTCATTCATTTAATGCAGACTTTAGTTTTTATTGTCATATCATATCATGCAAAGTATTATCTTCAGTTTTCAAGAAAAAAGAAATGTGTCTATTTATACCCAAATATTTTCTGGAATTCAGGAGCTAGTTGATGATCCAAGGTCACGCAAGGCGCAGTTCATGATGAGCCACCTCATGTCGGAGCACAGAGCTGCCCTTTCCCAGCGCTTAAGTCAGCAACGTTTCCGGCCCCTTGACACGCTCCCAGATGATGAGCTGAGGTTGCTGAATAGTCTGGACAACACACAAATGAGTTCCCTCCCACCTGAAGTAGTTCAGCAGGTACTGGAAAATAGTTTACAGTATGATCACTGAACCTTAAATGTATATGGATGAATCGGCCATTTTTTCCCTCTTTTATATGAATCATTCGTACTGTGATATGATGTCTTTTTTCTTTCCCCTTATTTCTTATTAAAGTTTACATGCGGTTGTCTTTCTTCTTCCTTTTAGGTCCGTGAAATTTTAGCCATGGAACAGAATGGTGACAGCAACATCTGGGAGGAAGTGTCACTGTCCATCAATGATCTTCTGAACACAGACTCAGATCCAGACCTCGACTGCCAGATCATCTCTCCACCGCCAAGAGATCCAACCTCAACAATCACAATCCATGACACTGACTCAGAAATGGAAGAGAACATCCAGGGTGAGGGAGTTCATGAGGATGAAGAGGAAGAGGAGGAACAGGATGATGATGATGATGATGAAGATGACGAAGAAGAGGAGGATGAGGATGAGGAGGACGATGATGACGATGAGGAAGAGGAAGAAGAGGATGAGGAGGAGGCTCAGGTGGCTTCTCCAGTAACTCCTGATGCTCAGAAGGATAGGAGATTAATCCAGAAACAAGAGGTGCCCACCCCTCCAGTGGAGCCCAAGAGTGCTGAGAACCCCCTGCAATTGATGCCGCAGATCCCTGTGGAAGTGCCCCTCTGTGTGATGGATTCCCTGAGTGGGACCTCAGGGAGTGCGAGGGGTATACCCAGCCAAGTGGCAGATCCCAGCAGAGCCTTACCAAGCCAGGTCCCTGATGGGTCCCTGAGTGGCACCCGAGCACTGGGGAGCCAGGTGTCAGAGGCTCCCTTGGGGCTCATGGGCCCAGGACAACCTCCTGTGAATACTCAGCGCCCTGCAACCGGGGAAATCCCTGTTGCTGGACCAGCACCTCTGCTTCTTGCACCTCCCCCTGGAGTGAAGGTAATCATTAGTCATCTGATGAATTTATGTAAATAGTTTATAAGTTAAAAATATTCTGTGTTGATTCTGACTAATGGTGATAATTTAAGTTGAATTTTATTATAAGTTGAATTTTATTATGCATTTACCAGGATTTTTTCTTGGAGATAAGGTCACAGTATCTTAGGAATAAAGCAGTGCAGTGCAATATCTGAAGCACTTGAATCCTAACACAACAATCTTTGTTCCCAGGTGAAAGAGGAACGTCCATCTCCAATAGGCGAATGTGGCCTCTGTATGCACAACCCACGTACCCCTCACACTTCAGAGTGTGTCTACCCCTATGGCCTAGCACCCCCATCTCCTGTGGCACTCATGCCTGGCCCACCAAGACCATTGGGTGCTACCCCACCTCAGAGGCCCGTACCTCACATGCCCACTGCCCAGCAACCACCACAGCCCGTCCCTCTCTCATCACCACTCTATCAGAGGTCCATCAAACAGGAGAAACTTGATGGTATGTTAACATCCAACTTTCTTTGGTTTACATATGATTTTGTTGTGCCTGTGGTAACTTTTTAAAAAAGCATTTAAAACTCAATATAGATTATATTATCGATAGTGAATTGTAATTGTTTAAAAATTAACTCTTTAATGATAATCAGAAATCTCTCAGAGGCTTCTGGCAACCATCCTGCTGTTTGGCCTGGGAGGCTGCTGCATATAGTAGAACTTTCCACTCGACATGCTCTAGCACGTCGTGAGGCCTATAGCCATACCTGGCACATTGAGTCAGATTGTTATGATGGCTATAGGCGTGGCCCAGCACATATAGGTTAAGGTTTTCAAAAAAATTTAAACAATTGGTCTAGAACTAAAAGCAATATAGCATATCTACTTGGAGTGTATATATAGATTTGGGCAAAGTAAGAAAATATATATATATTTTAAGGTTCTGGTAGTAATGAAAATAAATAGAGTCAGTAGGTCTTTCTATATACATGCAGAAATAGATAGATATAGATATGGCCTCTAATATAAAGTTAACCTAATATGCATCAGGCTTTTTTATCTTTACTTATTTATATACTCACAAATTAGGAGGTCTTCAGGTTTTACCCATATCAAATACATTAATTGTTTACACGTTTATGGCTCCACAAGTGGTTAGTCACCAAGGAGGCAATTAAACTTCTCACCTGTTTACCCATTTCCTTGATTTTCAGAAAGATTTGTTTTTATCTTTTATGGTCAATAGTGGTGTCATTAACATTATAATGATAATCTTACCATGTACCTGGCAAAAATGGGTTAAGTAGTTTTTAAATCCCAAGAAATAATTCAACTAAAGAATATATGCATTTGATATAGATTGATTAAATCAAAATTGATTAAAGGAATCTATATTTTTTTTACAATTAGTTGGGTCAAACTTTAATTTTTTTTTTCAATTGGTCAAATCAGTTATATGAAATTGGCTCTATTAAACAATGAAAATGAGTACTTACAAACATGTTTTATATTTTTATTTTTTTAGAGTCATACCTGAAGTATGAACACGTGAAACGGCCCTCTTCAGAAGAACGGCCAAAGAACCCAGCTCCCCCTGACACAGCAAGGGGGCAGCCCTCCCCTTTGCCCATACCTCCGCCAGCTCAAGCCCTACACCCACCGCCACACCCTCGACCGCTCATCTTCTCTCCAGGTGATGATTTTCCTGACCCTCCTCGCCCCCCTCCTCCTCCTCCTCCACAGTTTAGTCCGCGCATCAAGTTGGAGCGCCACACCCCTGTGCAATTTATGTGCTGTTGCATGCGCAATGAGTGCGAGCGTAGCAGTACCCATAGCGCAGAAATGCGCCCTGCCTCACATCGTGGAACAGTCACACCTCAGCCAAGTGAGAGGCGACCAACACCCCACTTGTACAAAATGGAGCCACCGTCCCCTTGTGCCTCACAGGTTAGGACTCCACACCAAAGCTTATCTGCGCTTTTTGCTCCTCCGGCTTCCCCACGCTGTCTCAGTAATGGTGGTGCAGCGGGAGCGCGAGTCACCATTGGGGTTCAGACAGAAAAAGAAAGACAAGTTCCACTGTATGACCAGGGTTGTAGTACCAGTAGCAGTAATAATAATAATAATAATAGAAGACAGTATGTTCCAAATTTAAGCTTAGCGAGAAGTGTGACACCTTTGGTGATCCATAAAGTTGACAAAAGTACAACTACGGAGGACTTGATAGGGAATTGGGATCAGCAGCAGTTGCAGCAGGCTCAGCAGCAGCAGCGTGGAAAGACTAGAGCAAAGGGTTGGTGGTGGCACAGAAATGGCCGTCCTAGAAACCACCTCAGTCAACTAACAGCAATATCAAATTCACTCAGTGAATTTGAGTTCAGCCACAATGCAGGAGTAGCACTGCAACAGATGATGGTGTTCAGTGAGCAAGAAACAGAATTCTTACGGCACTTGGAAAATGTTGACCAAGAAATCCATGAGCTTATGAGAGAAAAGAAACGCATGACAGAAGAACTTGGACGATTGCAACATCTTAGAATAGCAAAATTACAACAGTTGGTGCGACAAAGTGGTGTAAGTAACATTAGCATAGGAGGGGAAGTTTCAGGAAATGATTCACTGGAGTTAAGAGGTCCAACAACTTCTGACTCTAGAGGAATGCGGTCCTGTCCTAATGACTCAAGCTCGGACGGTGGTGATCCTCCAGATGTGGGAGGAAGTACTACATATAGTGTGGAAAATGTATCAGTAAGATATGGAGTTTCTAAAGAAGATGTATGTGTGCAGTCCACGACAGACAATGCCTCAGTTGTTTCTTCTTCTCAAGAAAAGGGTCCAAGGCTACGATCATTTAGCTTTTCACATACATCCTCCAATGACTCAAGCAATGATTCACAAAGTGTAAGAAGACAACGATGCACATCTACTTGTCAGTCTCCAGGGAAGGGTGGGAAAGGAACTGAAACTTACAAAGTCACCTACCTTGGTTCTGTCAATCCTACCGAGGGATTTTATGAGGACATTGCAAACATTCACAAATTGCAGCAATCCATGTCAAACACGGACTCAGAAACTGACAATGATTCTAAAGCGACAGGAATAGCAAATCACAGCTTGGAAGTCTGTACAGCCTTTGAAGGTGACAGCAGACAAGCCAAGAGTCGTAACAGAAGCAGCTCACTGTCGAGTTCAGCTGAAGGCGATGTGGAGAGTGAGGTCCCAGCAGATAGGGAAGAAGAAGAAATGGATAGTGTGTCCAGGTTCAGAAAGCAGTTAATAGATGACAAAGAAGAGGCTATAGTTGATTCCTCAGAGCAACAGGACAATAAGATGGAAAATGAGTCCTCAATAGGGATTGCAGAGGAGGCCATGGAGGATCAAAGTGACTCCAGAAAGACTCCTCCCTATCAGGAGAATGTTTGTTTACCAGAAAGCAATCCAAAGGCTGAGGAAGACTCTAAAGCCAATGTGTGTAGAATAAGCAGTGGAGCAAATAGATTCGAGGGAAAGAGAATAAATGGTGAAGCTGAGTATGCTCAAGTGTCCAAACCGGGTGAGCTGTGCCAGATATCAGAGAAAGAGCTCCCAAGCACCTCGAGAAAAAGCTCAAGTTCCTCCACCTCATCTTCTACCTCACCTTCCTCTTCTCCAGACAGCCTAAAGTGTAGGAGCACATCAGGAGAGCACTGCTATAGTCTGAGATCTCGTGGCCCACCCAGTGAAGTCATAGAGGACATTTCTGTAGCCAATTCGAGTTTGTGTGGTGAAGGGGTGGATGAGAGCTTGGGCAACAAGTCTCCAGGGAAGGGTGGGAAAGGAACTGAAACTTACAAAGTCACCTACCTTGGTTCTGTTAATCCTACCGAGGGATTTTATGAGGATATTGCAAACATTCACAAATTGCAGCAATCCATGTCAAACACGGACTCAGAAACTGACAATGATTCTAAAGCGACAGGAATAGCAAATCACAGCTTGGAAGTCTGTACAGCCTTTGAAGGTGACAGCAGACAAGCCAAGAGTCGTAACAGAAGCAGCTCACTGTCGAGTTCAGCTGAAGGCGATGTGGAGAGTGAGGTCCCAGCAGATAGGGAAGAAGAAGAAATGGATAGTGTGTCCAGGTTCAGAAAGCAGTTGATAGATGACAAAGAAGAGGCTATAGTTGATTCCTCAGAGCAACAGGACAATAAGATGGAAAATGAGTCCTCAATAGGGGTTGCAGAGGAGGCCATGGAGGATCAAAGTGACTCCAGAAAGACTCCTCCCTATCAGGAGAATGTTTGTTTACCAGAATTCCTCCACCTCATCTTCTACCTCACCTTCCTCTTCTCCAGACAGCCTAAAGTGTAGGAGCACATCAGGAGAGCACTGCTATAGTCTGAGATCTCGTGGCCCACCCAGTGAAGTCATAGAGGACATTTCTGTAGCCAATTCGAGTTTGTGTGGTGAAGGGGTGGATGAGAGCTTGGGCAAAACACCCCCAAGGAAGAGGAATGAAAAAGTTTTGGAAGAGGAGCAGGCAGATGACGAGAGAGAAGGGGATGAAGATGACGACGACAACAGGTCAGCGGGTGCAGATGGGGCAGACAGCAGTTCAGAAGACAAAAAGAAGAGAAAACGTAAGAGGAAAACCAAGAAACACAGGGTGAACAAGAGGAAACGAAAGAGAATACCTGAGAAGAGCGGCAGCAAATCCCCAGTAACCATGTCCAAAAGGAGCTTGCCAACTAGTCCAACTTCAAGTACCTCTCAAGCAAGCAACATAGACGTTAGTGGGACTTCGCTCAAGGGCTGTGATGAAGGTAGTAATGACAGTAAGAGGGGTGTAGAAGACCCAGGGAATAATGGCAGCTACGAGATGATGGATAGCTCAGGAGATGAACGGGCATATGTCAATCCACCACCTCATGGCAGTGCGGTGCTAGATATCAAGGTGAGTTATGTGCATTGACGTTTTTTGGAGAGTATTATTTATTTGTCAAAAAAATAAAAATAAATAAAAAAAATAAATCTTTTTTAGTTTTGCAAGAAATGAGTTTTTTAATCTGTGTTCAATATATATAGGTGTGTATATTTTTTTCCCAACAGGTAATTGGTGACTTTGTGATAACAGCATCAAGTGATGGAACAGCAAGATGTTATGATATGGCATCAGGTCGTGTCATGGCCACATATGTAGACCACACAGACCTTGTGACCTGTGTGGGTGTTGTTGGCAAGATTTCCTTCAATGCAGATGATGCTGACTTTGCAGTTATAACTGGCTCTGCTGACAAGACTATTTGTATGTTTAGTGGCAAGGTAAGTTAGGATCTCAGTTATAAGCATTTCTCGTGTGTGAATTTTGAATGGCAGTATGTCTTTTACTTTTCTTTTTACGTTTTTATTTATATCTGTGTATGTGTGTTTGTGTGTAGGACAATTCATCAATATTGTTAGTGCATTTTAAAGCTTTTCTGTCATTTTTAACATTGTTC